ACATACCAATTTTTTATGTGAGCACCAAATCACGGTAATCATGAAAACCTTACCTTAGTAAAGTATGTAAAAAAATCGAAGTTTCAAGAAGTTGGATCATCTCTAGGCCCATCAGGAAGACACTCATTTACTACATTCTGAGAATTACTGAACTAAATCATCTTTGTAGTTCCTTCCACTTCAGAAAGCCTTTGATTCATAGTTCCCGATTTAAATCTCAAGAAAGATTTCCTCAATTCCGAACCCCTTATAATACTACCAAGATTCACACATATTTTAAAAACGTTTACTCTCTTCTAAAGAGTCATTTATACAATTAATTTTTAATACAACAAAAGATTCTGACCACTAATAGAGCTTATAAAAGCAGTTTCCTTTGGTAACAGAAATAATACATAAGATAGTCAAAAGATACAATGATTTTCCTTAAGGCAGCGGTTCTCAACCTTCCTAATGCTGCGACCCCTTAATACAGTTCCTCATGTTGTAGTGACCCCAACCATAAAATTATTTTCGTTGCTACTCTATAACTGTAATTTTGCTACTGTTATGAATCGTAATGTAAATATCTTTTTGTTTTCCGATGGTCTTAGGCGACCTCTGTGAAAGGGTCCTTTGACCCCCAAAAGGGTCGTGACCCACAGGTTGAGAACTGCTGCCTTAAGGTAAGGAACATATTCAATTATTTTAACCCGAAAAGGTATTTACTTATTTAGTCTACCTCAATCTATTAATAAAAATATGACTGTTACACTTTAAGCATTTCTTTGTGGTTAATTTCTAAAGTGATATAAACTTTGGACTTTTACAAAATATTTTAAGATATACAATCAGTGTACCCTTGTGTCCTGAAGTATATCAGTACCACATACACAGGATTCAATCCATATTTTTTGGTATTTATACCTAAGACAAAAACACTACCACAAAAATAGACTTACAGGCAGCTGAAATAATGAATGAGGAAATGAATACTTTTTCCATTAAAAAAATAAATCTCATGTGGAAGAAGAAAATTAAATGAATGTACGCTAAAGTCAGACTGAGTCCAAGCTTTCACAACTTCATGCCAAGACTACTATTGTAGTATCTTAATTAATATCTTTATCTCTCACTCCTCCAAATCATTTTATAGCCCACTTCCTGATTCATCTTATCCAACTACATGAAGTATTCAATGACATACCTTTGCCTAGAGAATCAAGTTCAAAATCCCTGGTTCGGCATTCAAAGCCTTCCATAATTTGGTCTCTATCTGCCACATGAATCATAATTCCTATAAACACTACTCCCTTCCAATTTACCTTAATCAATTTTTCTACTCACTTTTTCCTGAATAAACGTTGAACAATTAATTCCCCATTTAGCCTTGCCTCTTGCTATTCTCTCTTCCTAGAATGTTTTTGCTGTTCATTTTCAATCCTATTTCCTGTGCTATTAAAGTTTATGTTCCCTTAGGAAAGCTTCTCTGACTACCCCAGTGTATAGCCGCCCAATTTTCACAACTTGTGAACTATGCCTTGTTTATGTCCCTCATTTAACACTTACTAAATGTTGTTATTACTTTATCTATCCATTCCTCTTTTTAATCTTCCCAAAATAACATAATTCAGACAGACTTCATCGTGTATCTCAGCATCTCCCTTGCCTGTCACAGTAACAGTACTTTATACAAAGGTTGCATTTAAAAAAAGTTTACTAATAGTATTTTTAAAACCAGTGCCTGGAATCAGATTTTTTAAAGCTTTACCACCTCATACTGATACACTGCTTTATACAGTCAAAGAACTTCTTGGTTTCACTAGGTCATTTTGTTCCTATCAAGTAGGCAGGATGAGTATTCTTGCCTATATATTTTTTATTCAAATAGACTACTTGCCTCAATATTTTAGGTGGAAAAACTGAGAATCAGAGAAAGTGTAAAGTCAACACCAACACACAGTAACACACAACACAACACACAATCCACATAACACATCACACAAAACACTCACAACACACATTGAAAACACAACAGTACACATAACACAACAATACAACACACAAAATACACAACACACAACACATAAGAACACAACACTGCACAAAATACAACACACAACACGTCACATACAGAAGTAAACACAACACACAACAAAACAAATAAAAAATACAACACACAACAACATAACAGCACAAAACACAACGGCACAAAACAAAAACACAACACACAAAAACCACAACATAGCACACAAAAACACCCAACATACAACACACAACACAATGCAACACAAAGCACAAAACACATAACACAACACAACACAACATAGAACAAAAACACAAAACACAACGACTGAACAGCCTAGAGCTCTTTTCAATATTTTATTGCCTCTCCAGCATTCTAATTATTTATCTTTTTGAAGATAAGGTTTAATATTAATACTTATATTATAATAACAATAGTAGCTTTTACTTATTGGCTGTTTACAACGTGCGTAGCTTTATAATAGGCACTTTATAATTATATTATCTCAATTAAAACTCAAAACAACTCTGGGAGATAGATATTACTATTATCTTTATTTAATCGATGAAGAAACTGGAAACCTAGAGAATTTAATTAATTACCCATGTCATACAACTAAGCGATAGGGCTCAGATTTTAACACGTAGTTAAATGTCTACAGAGCTCATGTTCTTATCCCACTTCCCCTAAATTTAAACAATAACTAGCTTTGGCTATGCAGTTCAAAGGTGATATTTTATAAATAAGTAACTCAAAAGTGGACCTCCAGATTAGTTTCAAATACAGAATATTTCAGTAGTTTATATTAAAATTATTGGTATTCTCTCTAAAATGAGCTATGTTGTAGAAGAAACTGAATGAACAAGAAGAAAAAAATGCCCTCAATTCTTTTTAAATAACTTGCTCCAACTCTCCATATTATCAGAATTTAGGATACAAAATGATTAAGACTTTATTAATACAGTACAGGTATTCTGGCATGGAATTTACCAGAATAAATAAAAGTAGATAAAATAAATATCTGCTTAGATATTTATTTTAAAAGGTAATAAATTTTAAGCAATTCTCTTCAGAAAGACAGGTATATAGTCAACACCTTAGTGGCAAAGTAAACTATTCAGAGACAGACAGACCTCAGCTCCACTACTTAAGCTGTGAGCTCTTAGAAGATATTAAACCTTTCTGAGCCTATTTCCCTACCTATAAAAGTGAGGATAAACAAATACCTACCTTTAGTAATTCTTATGAGGATAGTCTGACAAAGTATACACTTAGAAAATAGCAATTGTTGCTATTACAGGCATTTTTATTATCACCAAGAGATTAGAAATATTTCAGCTAAAAGAACTTAAGAAAGTCCATTAGCTTTAATTAAGAATTTTTCTGAAATTATAGTGAAATAAATTATAGTGAAAATAAAATAATCTACCATCAGTTTTCCATTTATAATCACCATGAGAATGACCTTCATAAATCAAGTTATTTCCATGTCCACTTTAATCTGTATTAACAAGTTATCATTTTAAAGATTAACTTATTTTTTTTTACCATTTAAGAAACTAAAGGGGCCAGCCAAGTGGCTCAGTTGGGGTTAAGAATTAGCTTAAGAGGGCGCGCTCTGAGCAACAGGGCCACCAGTTCGATTCCCACATGGGCCAGTGATGCTGCACCCCGAGCTGAGCTGCCGCTGAGCTGCTAACAGGTGGCAGGATGGCTCAGTGGTATAACAACAAGATTGCCTGTTCCATGGTGGGCTACACCCACCTGCAACTAGGACTGAACTCAGCACCTTGATCTGAGCTGCCGCCCAGATGGTTCAGTGAATAGAGCGTGCGCTCTTAACCACAAGGCTGCCGGTTTGACTCCCGCATGGGATGGTGGCTACACCCACCCACAACTAAGACTGAACATAGCACCTTGAGCTTAGAGGCCACGAGCTGCCGATGGGAAGCCACATGGCGACTGGCGCCCTCTACAACTAAGATTGAAGAACAACTTGGCTGGTCCCCTTCCCTAATTCCCCAACACTGTTCCCCTCCCTCAATTCCCCAATAAAATCTTTAAAAAGAAACTAAAACCAATTTGAACCAGAAATTCAAGAAAGGTTGGGACCAAGTTAATACAAGCAAGCAAAATGGCATTTTGCTGTCAATCATTAGACTGTTCCTACATCTGAGCCTGAACAAAGGACATTCAAGTTAAAATTTACAAACACCTCAATATATTATAATAGTGACTCTCAACTTCATAGCAATGTGAAAGATAGAAAGTTGGCCTCCACATTATTCCAACAACATTAATTTGTCAAAGAATCGTCTATGTAACAAATCATAGAATTACCAGCTTACTACATTTTACACAGTAGTACCCTTACTGTTAGGTAACAGAAATATTCCTAATAAAGAGTCTATAGCTCAATCGTTAATGGAATCTCTCAAAATGCAAAAAGTGAATTGAAAGTGAAACTATCACAGAACAAAATTTTTTGTATAACAAGTCATCACTTAATATACCCAATCATAAGGAAGAAATGTTTATTAAATATACTTTTATCGACAGACTATATGGTATCTGCTCTCAATTCTTAATTATTTTAACTGCTGTTTCATTCCCCCCACCTGCTCATAAACTGCACATGATTTGAGATTTGGAGGCATTTAATGTCCTCAACTGTTAACATCCTCTTGATTTCACTAAGACAAAATGTTTTTTGGGAAAAACAAACACAAACTATAATATCAGTATGTCTTATGCTATGTTTGGGAAGGCGTAGGAAGAAGAGGAGATGAAACAAAAATATCAGAAAACTAGGTTATGGTCCAACAGGCTTTAAACCATCTGTAATTTTAACATTATCAGAGGAGTTAAGGTATTATTTAAAATACTTTTTTAAAGTTTGTTTTAAATACATTTTGAAAATAAAATCACGGCTTACATCACACACTTTATAGCTGTAGATGATAGTACCTTATTATGCTGTATTTGAACCACTCACCAAAGTTCGGTCAGGTTCTCCATCTGTCAAACCTGCCTCCATGGTGAAAGAAGATAGGTTTATGCTTCTCTTTCCATTAATATTTAGTCATTCTGTAAATGTGGAAATCCTAGAAGAAGAAAATCATATGTATTAGGACTGGTATAGAATTGTGATAAGTGGAAAATAAAACATTAAGTACATTAGGAGGGAGAAATAATTTTAGGTTAAGGCTACTGGGAAATCAATAATGGAAAAAACAGGTTTTGACAGCCTGAAGAATGATAAAAGTTCAAAGAAAAATGAAAGAGGAAAATATTCCAAGTGAAGAGAAATAGCAAGAGCAAGATTAAAGGCATGAGATTGTTCAAATTTGAAAAGATGCTTAAATCTGTTTTTAATTAATGAAATAAAATTAGATTCATTTTTTTCATTATTACACCAGCAAAAACAAAAAAATGTGCTAACATTTTTGAGGATGTAAGAAATAGGTATTCTCATACACTTTTATGATAAGAATACAAATCATAATTTTTGGGAGGGCAATTTAAAATACATATGCGTTCATCCATCAATTTCTAGGCTAGGAATTATCCCATACATATATGTATGCAAATGCACAAAGATATATAAATAAACACATCCAACAAAATAATAGATATGATAGGAAAAACTGGAAACAACCTCAATATTCATCATTAGGAGCTTGCTTAAATTGTATTACAGATATAAAACAGAATATCATGCAACAATTTTTTAAGGAGGTAGATCTATATACACCAAACTAAAAAGACCACAATATGTAAAGTAGAAAAAGCAAAGATAGGATGTTATATAGAAAACAGTCTTTGTGTAGCTTTATTTTTCAATTTTTACAATGAACATGTATCACTTTTATACTTTTATTTTGAAAAGTCTTAGACAAGTATGTCTTCATCACAAGTCTTTTTCTTTTGAACTTTAAAACTAACAAAACCGCCAAGCTGAACTCCTACAGTAACTATATATTCCAAAATCTCTAATAACCTCTTTAATAATTCTTCCTTAAAACAGCTAACAAAACAAAAGCCAGTACATTAGTAGACTTCCAATCATTTCTTGGAGTTCCAAAAACATTTTTTTTTTCTGCAAGCATAAAAGGCTGCACTGACATGTAAATGCTGGTGAAAACACTTTTTTAACTGAGCTCTGGAGGGCTGAAATTAGGTTTCTCTGATATAACCAAGAAGATTAGCCCACACTAAGTTGACTATCAACTTGTGAGCCTTATGTACACTTCCTCACTGTATGTATTCAATGCATTGTAATTATTTTTTCTCATGATCCAATTCTCTTCAAGGACACAGATTAGGCTTTATTGCCCTATCCAGCACTAGTTTATGGTAGACATTTCATAAACATTTGTTGCACTTAACTAACACTGTTAACTCAGTTTCCTATGAATAAATAAAATAACAATCCAAAAAAACAGATGATACAAAAATTATATGGCTATTGCTATAATCCAAGCAAGAGAGAATGGTGGCTTGTGCCAGAATAGGAGCAAGGGATGTGGTGAGACTATCAAATTTTTTAAATACTTTGAATATCGAGTCAAAAATATTTGTCAATGAACCAGATGTGGGAATTTTTAAAAAGTGAGGGAGAGACAGGAACTTAGAAGGTTTCTGCCCTGAACAACTGGAAGAATGAAATTGCCATTAGCAGATATGGAGTATACTGTGGGAAGTCTTGGAGAGGGAAAGGGCTCTCAATCTAGACATATTCACTTTGAGATACCAGTTAGAAATCTGAGTAGAAATATCTAGGGAGCAGTGAGGCATGCAGACGTGAAGTTAAGGAGGAGAAGACAGGCTAGAAATGGAAACTGGGAGCAAGCATACAGATGGAATTTAACACCGTGAGACTGAATGACATCTCCTTGGGAATCTGTGCAGACAGAACAGAGGACCATGTTCAGAGCCCTGGGGAATTTCAATATTAAAGGACTGACATTTATGGAATGCATGAATGAATCCCAATTTTTGGTTTTCAATTTTCAGAATGACTATTATATACGTACTTAAGACAGAATTACTCTATACGAAAAGCAAAGAACACATACACGAAGTAAAAATCAAATTACAACATAACTAATTTTAAAAGGGAGCAGGGAGAGGAAAGAAAAAGCAAATTAAGGATAAGTGCCCTAAAATCCTCACCTTTGATAACAGGAAATTAATATGAGAGACACTGCTAATATGTCAAGATATAAGTTTTTAGTATATTTTCTTTGAAGCCAAAGACTAGAACTAAAAATGCACAAAAACAAATCCTGGATAAAGTGGGTGACCAGATGCTTCAAGTATAAGCATGTTAATTTCTCCATCATTCAGAGGTGAAAGTCAAAAGATGTTTAAATGATAATGAATCTGAGAATAAAAAGTATTTTTTAAGAATAAAACAGTAATTAAAACCAAACAAATGGCACTTGACCTAGGGAGCAGGTCTAAGAAGAAAGCCAGTCTTTTCTGCCACTTTAATTTTTAAAACATTGTATGCTGTTTCTATAACCAAAAAGAATGTCTAATAAATTTTCTTGTAAGAGTACAGTGTATTCCAATCCCGAAGACTTGTTTCTCCAAATTGTCAAGCTAAAGCTAGGCATGCTTTCTAATTTAAACATAATTACTAATTGAATTCACTATGTTCCCTCTTTTGTTCCTTTTGTTGTCAGTACTCTATAGACATTGTTGAGGAACTGGTGCCTATCTACAAACTTTAAATTTACAAAGTTCCTGGAGAAAGTAATTTTATAAAAAATTCTTCTTATTTGGGTTTAAATTGTTATTTCAGTTATAGAGAAAAGGAAGGAGCATTTACTAATCAAGGCCAATGCCTTTAGCACATGCTGTTTAATCATTAACAACCTTATGATGCTGTATGAGTGATGGCTGCTTTTGAAGGCAGGAGCAAGTTGTATATGTTTAGTCTGTGGCATCCTATCTCACAGGATGCCACGGAAGTTTTGTTTTGTTTTGTTAAATGCGTATATAATGCAAACACAAATGCTCAAAAGCAAGAGTACTTATCAGTGAATGCACCACACTGCTAAAGTATAACTTCTTATCACTGGAAACTGAATTAAAGTCAATAATTTTAATCTCATTGCCAATTTGACAAAAATAAAAATAGAGTGCAAATAGGAACAACTTGTTTAAGCTAGTCTGAACTAACCTACAGTATTTATACTAGGTCAAATCCTAAAGGAAAGCCTAATATAATGAGAAATTAATTATACATATGTGACAGTTCCTGAAAAAGTACTACCAAAATCTTATTCGTAAGCACTTTGGGAGAAAAAAAAGCTAAGTGATTGCTTGATTAAAGCAGTCTTGTCTACTCAAATAGATTTCATCAAAATTATTGCAAAACAGTATAGTATATATACTTCTTAGCATATGATAATATTTTGGCACTTATGAATTATGTTAAGGTTCCCTCTATTCTAAAAATAACAATTATGATTTGATGATATTGGAAGACCAGGAGGCAGGCAAAAATCTGGACACTGCTGGGCAAGGGGGAAGTGGGATAGGAAAGTGCAGGGCTAGTTATCTCACTGTGGCTGTATAACCTGAGGGAGACAGATGAGAAAGTCATCCAATCAGGGAGACAGACAGAGAGAAGCAACAGACTGAACTAATCACACCAGCTCTTAGAAGAGGGAAAGGCATAGTAAATAACCTAAAGATATAAAGGTGAAAAGAGGGGAAAAAACCTAGATGACTCCCCTTATTTGGATTTCTCTGGAGCATGGAGGTATGTATTCATACCTATACCTACATGTTCCAGAGCACGGCATTACCCCTTTCCAAAAAAAACCCTCATAAAAAAGCACCTTATTTCATAAACATTAAATAAATACACACTACTGTGCCTATTTCACAAAGTCATTCTACTCTAGTTTGCATTTATTTAATAACTACTTGACAACATATTAAATCCCAATAAATTACTTAAATTCTGAACCAGAAGGGCATCCAAATACCTTTTACATCTTCAGATTAGGCAAATTCATTAAATACCTAAGATAGATAGATATATACTTATGTATCAATCTTCCATCCAAGTGGCAATGGTAACTAACAGAAAACACAAAGAAAAACGTACTAAAGATTTTCTTGATTTCTTACTTTATAAAAAACACACCACATGTTGAGTCCATCCAAAACAATATCATCAGCACTTCACTCAGGGGAAAAATATCAGGTAACTTAGTGTTAGCCTAAGTTCAGTGAAAAACAGGAAATCACTTCTACCAAACTTCTATAGAATAAAACAAATTCTATTTCCCATTATCTCTAGGCCAAGCACTAATATACATTATTCATAAAATTTATGGTTTATAAACCTTAATACATATTGTCGCTCCACCATCAATTATATGTCCTTCGTAGGGCTCAAAACACATTCATCAAATATTTATTTACACCTTGTCATGTAAAAGACACTGTTCTAAGATTCTGAATATAGAGAATAAACATCATTCCTGTTGTAGCTGAGAGACAGTAAACTAAACTGGCCAGTACACTACAGTGTAATGGGCTTTATGACAAAGGTATGTACTACATGATGTTACCTACAGCAGTACATAAGGATATGAAACCCAGACTTCTGGAGGTGGTGAAGTGTGTGGTAGAGCCGCCCCCCCCCCCCCCCCCCACACACCTAAACAAACCACAAAAACCCTGGCAAAGTCCCTTTTATATTAAATATAAACAAATTAACTATCAGAAGTATATTATATAAATAAACTTAACTAGGATTAATTAACACGGAACCTTTCATAAATATTTACAATCAAAGGGCTTTCTTAACTTATGCAGTCTATTTTGAACTCAGGTTTACATTTTTTTGAGATTCATCTGTTTGGTATTAGACTTAGTAACAAACAAAACTATCTCCCAATAGACACATAATTCTACAAAAGAATAAAGAACGAACAACTAACACAATCTCAAATTACTATACAGTTTATAATTTTTCTTTAAAAATGTGTGGAAAAGGAATAGATTAGAAAGATCATTTCCTAATTTGAAAATAAACTTAGGTTACAAAAAGATCCTATCATATATATAAATTACTGAA